ATTAATCACTTACTGTGCTGAATGTATGTATGTATGTATTTATTTATTTATTGTGGTACCGGGGATTGAACTCAGGACCCTGTGCTTTCCAGGCAGGCACTTATTCTACTGAGCTATCTCCCCAGCTCACTGTGCTGAATTTATAAATTAAACTTTCTTATAGTTATATATGGGTAGTAAAAATAGTATATATAACACTCAGCACCATCTGTAGTATCAGGCATTCATGGGATCTTACAACTGCAGATCTGGGGAGCACTGCACTTTTGAGCCAATGTGTTTCAGGGTGCATGGCTGCTCACAGCTAACTGACTCACCGCATATGCTACAGCTTAGAAAGGGATGTCGGTTAGCAAAGAGGAAAGCCTGCTAGAGACAAGTATGCTGATTCAAACAGAAAAGCACCCAACAGCTAAATCCCTGAACACTTAGGGAAAGGAAGGCGGTTTGTGGTGCCTCCCAAGACCCTGAGCACGGACAGAATTCTAAAGCACTATATAATAACTCTGAACTATGTCACCCAGAAAATATATCTGAAATGGACTGTCCTTTCTTTAGGAAGACAAGTGCATGAACCATATTTAGAAGATTTCCATAACACGCTTGAGGCGTTAAGTGGCATTTATCAGGACATTTCATTTAGTGTGCGTGGGAACTACAGGTTCTGAAACAAAAACTGGGGGGCAAGCTTTTGTGCTGCTTCTAGGTGCAAAAGGCAGCCTAGGAAATGCAGTTTGCAGCGGTGGGTTAGGAGGAGGAGGAGGAGGAGGAGGAGCTGTTTCCTGGCTTCTCACCAGGGAAGCAAGCGCCTATCTCTCTGCCCCATCTCTCCACCTCTTTAAAGGGGAGGTAGCAGCAGCACTTCACTTACAGGGTTAGCGAGCTGGCACATGGCCCTGCTGATACATTTAGATGTTCATGGGGGTGACGACAAAATCTGAAAGCTGCGATGGCCTGAGAAAAGCTGCGCGCTGAGGAGCTGTCTCCTCGCACGCCGCCCCGCCTTCCCCAAGGACACCAGGAAAGCAGCACACGCAAGACACAGGGGGAGCCTCAAAGGTCCAGGAGAGGCTGGGTGGGCAAAGCAGTGGGAGCCACAAATGTCATCTTCAGGGCCAGCCTCCCAGCTTGGCCAGCCCTGCGGGGCTCTGGGTAGTAGACCAAGCGTGCTCTGTTTCATGCTGAATTCTGCTCCTTTGCATGGTGCTGTCATTAGTCATTAAGCAGGGAAGTAATCCTTTCCATCAGTGTGGGTGCTGAGTGCTGGGGACCGGACTGAGCACTTGCCACATGCTGTCTTACCGACCCTGGAAGTGGAGGACCTCAACTACCTCCCCTCCAAAGAGCCTGAGACATAGTGTACAGAGATAAGCCTCTTGCTTCATTGTACGAAGGCGGAATTCCAGCCTCCATCGCTTGCTTCACACCGGCCCGTGTAGTTTGTGGGGCTTCCTGGTTCCCTCCTGCTGGGGCTGGCTGGACCTTTTCCCACCCCGATTCCTGGAATTTTAGAACTGGATCTATACTACCCCCATGTCCCTCCCCCATGCTGCGCTTTCTGAGGAACTAAGTGAAAACTGACGCGGGAAGGGGCCCCTTCCCTGGGGATGCGGTTCTGACTAATTACGACTTATCACCTGGAGCAGGCGCAGGGAAACTGGCTCGGATGGGGCTGGGCGGTGCACCTGAGCGCGCGGCTTGCCCTCTGGCCAGCTGCCAGCCTGCTCCAGGCCGCCTCTGCAGGCCGACGGCGGCCGGCTCGGGCTGCTTTATCTCTTGCAAACACCGGCTCCTCTCCTTGCCCCTCCCTATCTGGGAGTTTTCTTGGAGCTCTAATGAGAAACCCTGGGTCACATTGACAAGCTGCCAGCTGCTGCTGCTGCTGCTGGGAATGTCTTTGCTGGGGTCAGACTCGGGAAAGCTTCCAGCTGGGGCGTGAGGAGCTGCGCCGGGAATAACCCCCAGCGTGTGCAGCTCCCAGCTGCAATTAGCGAGCCAGGTGGGCTCCTCCCTGCCAGCCCGCGGAAAACAAATAAACAAACAGTAGAAGGTGCCAAGCCGTCCCGCCCGCCCACCCGGGCTGGCCGCTTTCCTGGCCTCTGCACACCTGCTGCGTTCTCCCCTCCTCCTGCGACTGGTCTAGACTCCAAACCCCGGAAGACAAGACGAAGGCACTTCTCTCTTGGCGCCAGCTCTTAGGTCAGAGAATCTGTGTCACTGGTGGTAGGTGCTTCACTGGATCCTCAGGGACCGGGGTCAGTCCACTTAAAGGCAGTCTTCCTGAGTGGCCCTGGAACCGCGCCCTCCCAACCCCAGGGCTAAGGCCTGGGGACTTCTAGAGTGTGGGAGTGTGGTTCCCAGATTGCTAGGTCTGGGCAGCTGGTCCCTAGTAGAGACACTCGATGCTCACAGGCTCCTATCATCCCAATGACCCGGGCTTCCCGAGGCCAGGCACCAACACTGCCAGCAGCCCAGGCAGCACATGCCAGGAGGGCCCCTTCTGTCCTGGCTTCCTGGAGAAGGAAGTTCTTCCTGGGCTGTGGAGCTGGTACAGCTGAGCATTCTAGCCGATTCCCTCTCAGCCCCCCTCTGGGGCAAGGAAAACACAGTACGATCTGAAAAGCACTTCAAGGGGCCGGGGAGATGGCTTGACAGGCAAACACAAGGATCTGAGTTCAATCCCTGGTTCCGC